CCACAAAGGCCTTGGTGCGGATCACGGGCCACAAGCCCGCCTGCCGCCTTCCTCTCAGAACCAGAAGACCAGACTTAGAGTAAGAATGACAGAAGTCGAATCTTTTAGCCTCTCAGATCCAAGGAGGGTGCTCTCAGACTCGCATGAGAGGGCCTTCCAACCTTCAACGCCTGGGGGCCCCGCAATGGTGGCCAAACAATGCAGTAGCTTACTCAACCAAGGTCAAACTGTCCGCTGTTGACCCTCTGGCGAACCCCCAATTCATAGCGGCGAGCCCCTTGCTGAGTCTAAGCCTTCCCACAACCCACAATATCACTCCTTCTGACCCGACTGCCGCCAGGCAGCCTAGAAGAGCCGCATTCAATTGGTCCACAACCTCCGTGCTCCATTCGAAATGCAACCAGCTTACATGGTTCTCTGCTCACACCATAACATGCACATGCTGCATGTGCAGCGGATCTGTGACACTCAGCCTCCTACAGCAGCAACTGCATAGCGCACCGTAGCAAGACTCAGCGGAGCACAACAGCGCCCAAACAGGATACTCAGTCCCCTCTTCTCCTCAGTCCAATCACGGCCGCACAACAGCCTGTAACAGCCCATACCCGCAACCGCAATACTCAGCGACGGTCAATAGCACGGCAGTAGTCGTCTGCTGCAGCAGTCCACGCACAGTCCGTCGCCGCAGCGGCATTAGCCCACAGTGGGGGTCAACGGTGGCAGCCCGAGTCTAGTCCGCATCCGCAATTCCCGGTGGTGGTCAACAGTAACCGCAGCAGCCATGTATAGTCAGAAACAGCGGAAGCCAACCGTAGTATGCAGCCGGCAACAGCAGCCTAGTGCGGTGTCTTCAGCAGTAGCCGCAATACACAGCGGCGCCGCCACCCCTCCGTAGTCTGTAGCAGACCAGTGCTTTATGGCAGTCACGGCGGCAGCAGTAGTGCCCCGGCCTCGAACAGCAGCGACCTGCAGCCTGGTTCTTGAACCCTGCAACGAAATAGCCCAATAGGACACAACTCAACCTAGCGAGTCCTGGCACTGTGACTGCTCCACCATGAATGAGCCAGGGAGTCACTCCGACAGGCACCCCTCACCATGCGGTGTTTTCATTGTTTGGGCGCATAGGGCCAAGTGTCCAAGGCCCAACGCGCCGGTTCCGTTTTTCAAAACTGAACGGAACACCCCCGTTTTCGCGTTAAACGCGATTTAACGGGGGTCCCCAGGCCCGTTGAACGGGTTCAACGGCGTTCAATTTCGCCCGTTCTCCGTTCATCGGACTCACAGCTCTGGTGTTTCAAATATGAACTGTTTTCTGCACTTTTTATGAAAAAAAAAAAAAAATGAAGAAATTTGAAGTGTCATCACTATTCGTCATCTTCTATCTATCAAGTCTGGCCCCGCATCTGGGAGGCTTTGGTATGCCTGGGTGCTGATCCAGATATCTGGACTGGACCACCAACCAGACAGGATGTCAATCGTGGGCAGGACCAGAATTTTTTATCATGTTCAAAATTTTTCAAAAAAAACCGGAGAAAACTTTCATCTACGCTGTTTATAAAAGTTATTGTTGTTTTCGTCTTCGGGTGACCATGCGAAACTGCACGGGGCGCTGTTTGGCCTGAGTGTGTAGCGGCCCCAGTTAAGCCAGGTCCCCCGTAACGGTCCCACGAGGCCTGGCTCCCAGATTAGGGAAAAACATGGTGCGGGAGTGCGAGGGCCCGTTGGTTTATTCAAGTTCATTGTTGTTTTGGTCTTCGGGGCGCTTGTTCAAGACCGCACGGGGGCGCTGTTTGGACTGAGTGTGTGACGGCCACAGTTAAGCCGGGGCTCGCGTAATGGTCCCGTGAGGCCTGGCTACCAGTGTTGGGAAAAATTTGGTGGGGGAGCGTGAGGGCCTGGACCCAGGGCCGGGCGAAGTCTTCCATTCGTTGATTTTGGTCTTCAGGGCGGCCGCTGGAAACTACGTGGGGCGCTGTTTGGACTGGCCCCGGCGCTGGGTCTCATGTAACGGTCCCGCGCGGCTTGGCTACCAGTGTTGGGAAAATGTGGCGGGGGAGCGTGAGGGCCCCAGCCCAGGGACGCCCAAAATCTTCCGTTCGTTGCTTTATTGTTGTTTTGGTCTTTGGGGTGCCCGTTGAAAACCGCTGATGCGCTGTTTGGACGGTGTGTGTAGTGGACATGGCATGTTCAAATACAAGTTCATAGCCAGCCGGGGCCAGCTGCACTTCCCCATGCCACGGCCAATTTCGTTTTTAGGCTGAGCGTGAATGGAACTCTCCACCTCTTCGCGCAGAATGCCACTTGAGAGAGAGAGAGAGAGAGAGAGAGAGAGAGAGAGAGAG